GGTGGATTGCTGGAGGCCACCAGCCTGGCCAACATGGAGAAACCCCATCTCTACTAAAATATACAAACAGTAGCCAAGTGTGGGGGTGTGCGCCTGTAATCCCAGCTACTTTAGAAGCTGCAGCACGATAATTACTTAAACCTGGGAGGCAGAGGTTGCAGCGAACCGAGATCATGCCATTGCACTTCACCCAGGGTGACAGTACGAGACTCTGTCTCAAAAAAAAAAAAAAAAAAAAAAGTAATCATACTTCAGACTTTCTATATATAAAACACATACAAGAAGAGCCTCTTCAGGTGAAATGGGGAGGGAAGCCTGAGCCACCTCTCTCAGCAGGTGCAGAGGCAAGTCCTCTTGGGTGGTTTGAAACCTAGACTCCATGGCCTTCAGCTCTGGAATCTGAGTTTAATCACTGGAGACACATCCCGTGTAGCCATCGCCTCAGCTCTCAACCTATCCTGGTTGCCTGGGAAACCTCCTTACAGCATTTGGCCAAGTTGTGGGTCTGCATTGCCGCTGTGTTGGGGTTGCCACGGTGAGAAGAAGTCTGATGGTGCCTCATCTGTGGTCCCAGCTTTGAAGGTGGCTTGTGCGGGAAACAGGAGGCAAGCTGGAGAAATGCCACCAAGTCCTGGAAGGAAGATCCTAAGTGTTGTTGACAAAGGAGGAGCATAGTGGCTGGTGAGGCCATAGCCAGTGCAGGGTTTACTGAAGTCCTCAGCTGTGAATAGCCCTGATAGTGCTAATCTTCTAAGATCTAGAGTGCGGCTGCTGGAACACTCCCAGGCCTGTCTTCCACTCCCACTTCTCTGCATTAGCATTCTAAGATCACCAGGTGCTCTGCAGTCTAATGGGTGGAATGTTCTGCGTTCTAGTGTTGCCTTGGCAGAGAGAGGATCCCCACCAAGTTCTGCTCTGCTGACTGCAATGCTCTGCTTTCCCCAGCTGTCAGTGGCTTGAGTCATCAGACACAGATTGTTCTGTTCCCTTGGATTTTAGGATAGCTTTCTTCTTGTATCAATGGCTAATTCTTTGAAAGAAGATAAATTATAATACATACAGGGACTTTTGCTTAGCTAAAATATTAGATTAACCCAAGCACCTGTTTTTTTCCCCCGTGACTTGTTTATTGAGTAAAATGCTATCATGTCTCTTTGAAGAATGCAGCTTCCTAATTTTATAGATGTGGAAACTGAGACTCAGAAGTCCTAGTAATGGAGGAGCAGAAAGCATCAATTAGAACCCCATAATTTCATTAACAGCCCTAGAATTAGAGAATGTTAGATCCAGAACACCTTAGAGACCACCTAGCCTAACTCCTTGGTCTATCCCATGAGCTTGTTTAAACCATTGTGTTACCAGCAGCTGTGTGTTGATTGTGTTTGTTTTTATATTTTCCCAGGGGATGGTGGTCCCTGAGTTTTAGTCCAAGGCACAGCATGCTAAGTGGCCAAGACAGTAAATGATAGGAAAATTTCCCAGTGTAAAGGCTGTGGGTGGGGCCTAAAGAAAGAGTGCAATATATGCTTGAGGACAGGCAGGAAAGGTGCCACAGACAGGATGAACGGCCCATGCAGAGATGAGAAGTTGGGAGTGACTAGCCAGGGTCTCCTGGATGGATCAGAGGGCCAGTTGGAAAGGGTGTAGATGGTAGATCAAGAGCTTTACTCTGATTTTTACCTAATCTGGGACTTCCAAGGAATTCTGAATAGGATCCAGGCCCTTTTCTCCATGGTTCCTGCCATAACCCTGTCCCAGGCCCTCCTAATTTCTCCCCTGGTAACCTCCTAACTGGTATCCCTCCCTCTCCACACAGCCTCGCTTCCCAAGAACTTTCTAAAATGCAAATAGGAGTGTGCCTGTTTCCTACAAAGCACTTGCATGGCTTCCCGTTGCCCTCAGGACAAGGTCCTGGCTTAAGTGGCTCTGTGTGGCCTTCCCCTGTCCTTCTGCAGCCTCACTCTCACTGTACTTCTGCCCTTTCCGGCCTCCCTAGTTTCCGAGCAGCCAGCTGTCTGTCACTCACTGCCTGTGTCCAGCCTTCTCCTTTTCTCCCATTTGCTGCCACTTCCCGGTGAACTCCTATTCATCCCTTAAGACCCAGTACAAATTTCTTGTAGAGAAGTGTTCCTGGATCTTCCTAAAGCCACCATTATGCCTTGAATGCGTTTGTTTTGAAGCTCCCTTCACATTACTTCCAAAATACCGGCTGTTCCGTGTTTTAGTATTTATTGTGTGATAGGCACTGACCCACGCCCCATACTCACGTTATTTTATGTTATTCTCACAGTAACCATATGAGGTGCATTCCTTACAGTCCCACTTACAGATGTGGACACTGAGGCTCAGGGAAGTGGTGTGACTTGGCCAAGGCATGCTGCTGAAGGGTGACAGAGCTGGCATTTGAGTCCAGATCAGTTTGTATTGATTTCTGCAGTTGTTAGTCTCTTGCTCCCTGGATCCCCATTGTCGGGGGGGTTAGAAAGTGTTGAGCATTTGAGGGACCAGTCACAGGAGTGGGCACAGCAGGGTTGCTCTGGTGTGGGCAAGATGGGGGAAGTGGAGGGAAGTTTGGTGAGGGCTGGGGCTGGGTTTACTCTGGGGTGAAAGTGATGAGAGACTATCAGCCTAGCTTCTCACAGTTAGGGGTTTTCTATCTTCTTTTCCAAGTGGCAGCCTCTGGCCACCTGGGGAGAGGCCTGTGGGACTCCAGGCTAAGCAAGTGGCATGGTGACAAACACCATGGCAACCTGCCTCCTTGCTAGGGCCTAGAAGGGAGGGAGGACCTGAGAGAGCATAGGGTACACACTAAGTTTTCTGAATAGGATCCTGAGAGGTGGCTCCTTTTGGGCCTGGGTGGCTTCCGCCCTCCCATGAGGGACCCTGCCTGCAAGGTCCCATCCCAGCAGGGGAAATGCCACTTCCACCTTCGTCCCAGATGAATAGCTGGCTCTGAGTTCCCAGGAGACTGTTAGCTGCACTCAGGTACAAATGCCACCCGCTTCCCTCCCCCAGGCCAGGGAGGAAGGAAAACGGAGCTTAAGAGGAGGCAGACGTGGGGTTGCCAAGCAAGGTAGCAGCAGGGACAGCTGAGACAAAGCCCTCATAGCAAGGCCACACGCAGCTCTGAGGCAAATCAGGCATCTTGCCTTCCTCCCAGGACTGGGCCTTGCACTCTTCCTGGACTTTCCTGGCTCCTTAGAACACTCATCCATGCTGGCTTGGAAGAGCCCATCCTCAGATATGAGTCCTGCCTCTGCTGGAAAGTGCTCCTGAAGGCACAGCCTCCTTTTTGCATCCTCCCAAAAGCCAGAAGGGCAGGGATAATGGGGGGAGAGTTGTCAGTGAAGCCAGGCTGACCTGGGCCGGAAGCCATAATGTGCCACACCTGCAGCTGTGTGACCTTGGGTCCAAATGCAGTAACAAAGCCAGCCTTGAAGATTGCTGTGTGAAGTAATGGGCCAACGTATATGAGAACACTCAGCATGGCCACCTTACCGCAGAAGGCATCAGGCAATGGCAGGTGATTCTTGGAGCCTTGCTCATGTGCCCCTCTGCCCCTAAGTTGTTCCCAATCATGGTCCTCCTGTGTCCAGGAGGCAGTGAGCCACTTATGGCCATCCTCAGAAATGAGGGGGTGCACTGATGTCCTCCTACCCCCAAATCTCCCCTTCCTCATGCTTCTTGCTCTAGGGGCCAGCCCTATAGTTCCAGGAGGCCCTGCCTGGGTGACTGGGCCATGATGTGTAGGAAGCATTGCCAAGCTGGGGCAAGCAGCTCAAGTGACAGGCGTGGTGTCGGCAGGTCCTGCAGCCCAGCACCCGACACCTCCAGGCAAACAATGCTGGCTGTGTCCAGACCCTCTAGGGGAACAGGCCGTGTTCTATGTCCCCGCCAGGAAACAGGCCATCTGAGCAGTGCCTTTGTCCACTCAGGAGGCAGCCCCGCCGCTGGCTGGGATGACCAGGCTCCGGGGAGGCCCTGACGTGGGAAGGGGGTGGTCCCCGGGCCAGAGACTCTGAGGTTTGAGATCCAGCCCCTCAGCATCTGATGTTGACCTGGTTTGAGTATTGGCTCTGCCACATACCTGGGATGTGACTTGGCCAAGTCCCTTCCCTCTTAGTGGCTAGATTCCTCATCTGTAAAAGGGGACTAATCACAGCACTTCCTCATAGGGTTGTTGAGAGGAGTCAATGGCGTGATGTACGTAACGTGGTTGGCATGAGGTCTGGCGTGGAGTGGGGCTCGATGAATGCTTCCCTCCAGCATGGAGAGAGATCTGGGCATGACATCCTCAGCCAAGTCTCCTGTAACTCAGGCTGCTGTCCTCTGTCCCTGCTGTTAATGTGGAAGAAGGCAACTGAGGTCTCTGGAGCTGGCACAGGACCAGCACATTGGCTGCAAAGAGCCCAGATTACCCCCTCTGCCCAGACTCCAGTAACTCTGGGCTAATGCCCAGTATAGCCCTCATTCTCAAAACAGCCAAAATCCAGCCCAGCATGGGGCCTCTCCCCTCCTTGAACCCTGGAAAGGCTGTCCTTGGAGCCCAAGTCTCTACCCAGGAAAGAAGCCTATGGACTCGGGGGCAAGAACCAGGGGCTGGATTCTACCTACCCACTTAGCAAGAGGCCCAAGGATGGGTCTCTCTAGGCATGAACACTTCTTCCTGGGTCCACCCACTGGGATACCCCCATCGGAGGGCCTCTGCTCCCATCCACCCCAGTGCTCGTCGGCTTTGAGCCTGTACCCCTAAATTCCTGGTAGATGCCAAAACCAGCATGCAGGTTGCATGGGTGGGTGCGGACGTGCCTGTGCCGCGTGGGTGCGGGGGAGCCTGGCTGCATGGCCTGCGTCATGGGCTGGCTGCCTGAGCACGTTCATGGAGACACGTGTGGCATGTCTGGGAATGGCAGGGACATGGTACCTTCTCGTGTTCGTGTGTATCCATATGTCTTTCTATACATGTGCTGGTATGTTGGTCTGTCTTGTCTCCCTTGTAGACGGGAAGCCCAGAACCACGCGCCAACTGGGAAGGTGATGGTCGGCGAGACCAGCCCATCCTAATTCAGGGTTCCTGGTCCTGCTCCAGGAATCCTACAGCCTGCAGCCCCTACCAGAGAGGGAGGACTGAACAGCAAGGGGGGATGTGGGTCTGAGTATCAGGGTCCTGGGGAAGAAGCAGGCCTGGCTCACAGAGTAGAAGACTCGGTACCAGCAGTCAGGAGGCCCTGCTCCTGAAGCCCCTGTGACCTTGGGCACGGCCTTCACTCTGTCTGGGGCACATTCACTCATCTGGAGGACACAGGGTTGGACTGATGTTTTTTAGCCACTCCTGAGGCTCTCACAGTTGTGATTTTAAGTTGGGTGGTGGGAACCTGTGCACCAGCCCCATTAAATTCATTGGTGAAGGCAGCTGCGGCCTGCCAGGCCCTCGCTCCTGGGGTGTCCTGCCGAAGCGTGAGAAGAGAAGCCATGCCGGGCAGCGGCCCCAGCGAGAGGATGACGTGGCCTGGCCCGGCCCTTTCTGTGGGCCCCCCAACCCGCCCTCTCTCCTCAGCCCCTGGGACACCGCCCATCCCACCCCTTACTCGGACCCGCAGCCTCATGGCCATGTCCCTGCCGGGAAGTAGACGGACCTCTGCTGGATCCCGCAGGTGAGTCCCCCCCTCACCCAGATCCCTGGCTTCGGAGGGCGGGAGGAAGGTGCGGGGCTCTCTCCACCTGCCACTGACTTGCAGTGTGTCTTTCAGCAAATCATTTTCCATTTTCCTATCTTTAAAATGGGTTTGCTAACACTTGCCTCCTCCTGGAACTGTTTAATGGCTCAAATGACACAGTGGATGTGAGAATTCTCTTAAGGCTTAGACCACTGGATTCCTACCAGCAGTAGCCTCATCAATACTGTTTGATCTTCACAACTACTGGAGGGAAGTTGTGCAGTCATCCACTCAGGCTCACTTGGTCTCCCTTGATTTTTACCCCTGTGGGTCCCTCCTCCTGTCCCCACCCCCATCTGCCCCATTTTTCTCTACCTTTGTCTCAGTCTATGCAGGGATCTCCTCCCCTGGGTTTAGGGAACCCCAGAAGTTGAGGACCCTTGAAAAGAGCATATGAGGCTCCACCCTTGCCCTGCACCCCTGCCAGCCTCCATTCTTGTCCCTGGGGAGCCAGGAGGATGCCCCTCCTTCTGGTTTTCCATCTTGATTTGCACTGTCTGTTCTGTCACCCCTGTCTGTGCATCTCTCTTCCTGCTTCTCTCCCCTGCGGTGACCCCAAAGCGGGGGCACTTTGGGCCGCAGCGGCCTGGCAGTGTTCGCCCAGTGTCCGCAGCTGCCCACCAGCCAGAACGAGCACCTGCCTCTTCTTCCTGCCTCCAGGCGCACCTCTCCACCTGTGAGTGTGCGGGATGCCTACGGCACCTCTTCCCTCAGCAGCAGCAGCAATTCAGGCTCCTACAAGGGCAGTGACAGCAGTCCCACACCAAGGTAATTGGCCCCTCCTCCCTGGGCCTGGCCTTGCTGGCTGGGAACAGTTGCCCTGGGCAGGGGAGGTAGGGGAGCAGGGTGATGTTTTAACCACCCCCGACGGCAGCAAAGTCGCTGGCTGTGTGACCTGGAGCAGGCCACTTCTACTTTCTGAGCCCCAGTTCCTATGTGTAAGATGAATATAATAACATGCAGCTGTACATAAACAAATACAGTGGCTTAAACAAACTAGGGGTGATACTTACAGAACAAGGAGCCAAGGGTTGGCAGCTCCCTGAAGCGTCAGGGACCCCATGTCTTCTCCCCCTGCTCCACCATCCTTGGTGTACAGCTTTTGTCTTTGTCATCACAGGATGGCTTCTTCACCTCCAGGCATCAGGCCCACCCTCCAGGAAGGAACAGGTGGAAAGGACCAAAGCCTTCCTCGGAGGTTGTTTTTCTGAGAGAGACAGCTTGCCCCCAAATCCTGCCAGTTCTTGCTGGCCAGAACTGGGTCATGGGAATAACTCTAGCTGCAGGGCAGTTCATGTTTTCCCCAGTACGGTGCCACCCCAGACAAATGGGGTTTCCTCTAGGAAGAAAGCAAGATGAGTATTGGGAAGCAGCTAGCAGTGTCTACCATCACGCACTTCTCAGGGGAACACTTTGAGAGTGGCAGAGGTGGCATTAGCTTGTGAGGCGAAATGTTACACATGCGGCAGATGCCAAGTTGTAGTCTTGGGTAAGGTGAGCTCAGACTCAAAAAGCAGGATCACGCTGCAGAAGCAGGTGTCGGGGAGCAGTGGGTCCTTGAAGACCAGGAAGCAAGAGCTGTCATGGAAGGCCTTGTCCTGCTTCCCCAGCACTGAAATACAAGAGGGAGGCTGGGGTGTGTGGGGAAGGAGCATGGGCTCTGGATTGGGTCTCTTCCTGTCTTGAGCCTCCATTTCCTTAACTTTAAAGTGGAGCTAATAACTAGGAAGCTTCCGTGACTTGATATCTACACGCTGCCTGTGCATCCTAGTTGGCCGATAACTGATAACTGCTGTTGTTAGGGCTTCAATCTGACTTAAGGCCAGGAGATGCCTGGCCTGTGGCTTCCATGGCTGGAGCACCTCCGGGAGGGCTCAGCAGAGAGGACGTCATTTGTGTGAAGCGACGTCCGAAGCCACCAAAACAGCAGTTAGGAGTTTTCCATTGTGACACACATGATGGGTAACACCCGTGTGCAGGACCCATGCCTCAGCATCCTGGCTGTAACACCACCCCAGAGACGGGGGGAACGTGGGAGTAAAGCGTCAACCTATATTTTGAAAACTATATAACTGGCAACTTTAACATTTTTCCATTAGTAACAGATTTTGTAACGCATCTCATAACTGCAGCCCATGGGGGTAACCCCAGCCCCAGGACTGATAATTGCTCCCAGTGAAGGATCTTCTTGCCCACAACAAGGTTTGCTGCCTCTGGGTAAGCAATGGAGCCTCAGTTAGGCCCCCTCTGCAAATAGCCAGGCTTTCCAAAGCAGGAGTAGCTGAGAAACATGCATTATAGATTTTTTTTTCTATTTTTAGTTTATATATATATATACACACATATATGTATTTACAAAGATAGAGCTAGTGACTAAAAATGTGTAAGTGTTAAATTTTATATTGTGGAAAAAATACTCATGAAAGCAAAATGAAGAAAATATAAAATAGTTACTTCCTCTCTAATCCTCAATCCTCACTAGTTTGGCTAATCTTGGTTCCCCCACTCCTACCACTCCACCCCACCCCACCCCCAGGCATGGGGGAAGGACCTCTCTTTACTCATCACAGATCTGTGCCTCTCTAGACAAAGCTTTTGCAGGGGCAGGAGGATGATGGTAAGACAAGTGTGTGGGACCTGAGCACGATCTGTGTGGCTAGCTTCTCTTTTGGAAAGAGATTTCTTAAACCAGAGGGGAAACCCTAAGCTCCCAGCCCATGCCACTCCTCCGCCCCTTGCCAAGCAGAAAGCAGACCTGCATGACTTGGTTTGAGTTAACCTAGGGGCCATGAGGCGAGTACATAGAAGAAAACCATTTCTCATTCCACGTCTATCACCACTTTCTCTTTGACAATTTACAACTTACAAGTACATTTTCCTCAGTAAACATTATACAGCTTCCACAGAACTTTCAAAACTCCCTCCAGCTTGGCTGCTTCTACAAATGGGCCTCATCAAGGCCTGTCTTTTCCAGGCTCATAAAGGGGCATTGTGCCTCCCTAGACCTGGCAGTTACCCTCCCCTCAAGGAGCAGAGTTGAATGGCAACAAGGCCTGAGTCTCTAGTTGTGTGAAAACATGCCCAGATTTTAAGCCAAGATCCAAGGTTTCTTTATGAGAAGAACAACCAGCAGCCGGGACGCTGAGCGTAGAGCTGGCTGGGCCACAGTCTGTTGTGGAATTGGGGTATTCCCCTTCCCTCTGAAAGCCTGGCCCTCCCTCCTCCACTGGCACCTGACTGCCCTGAGTGGAAATTCCTTCTTCTTTGCCCTGGTAGGGCACCATGTCAGTGCCGCCCTGTGCTGGGAGCAGTGCACGTCCAGCCTGCTGCCGCCCCAGAGTACTGCAGTGGACAGGTCCCTGCCCAGAGCCAGCAGATGTTCACATGTGTGCTCTCATGTGCTCCCAGAGGGGAAAGTGTGAACATGGACCTGGGCTGGTGCCCTAGTACGCGCAAGTGCCCGCGAGGCACAAGTGTGTATCTGCACATGCAGGCGCAAATGGACTGGGAATTGACATCCTCACATGTGCGCTCCCAGGAAGTGTGCGTTAATATAGGGCGCACCCACATGCACACAGTGCGGGTGAGGAGTGAGAGTACTGGGGTGTGGATGGAGAGAGCTGTGTCTGTGCGTGTCTGCCCTCCCTGTCCCCCGGCTGTGAGGGGTCTTTGCTCTGGAGAGGAGAGCTTCTGCCTCCACCAGGGAGATGTTTTCCTCCTCTGTGGGGATGAGTCCTTGTCTGCCATGCAGAGCCAGAATCTGCCACTTACATATAGGTCTCCAGCCTTCAAACTCATCCTCTGGGCTGGAAGACTAGGTACCTAGGTTCTGGGGTGCACCACTGGGACTGTCTGAGGGGCTTTGGGCAAAAGCTAACTTCTCTGTGGCCAGCAACCCCTCTAAAAGATGAAGTCCCTACCTCCATGGCTGCTGTAAGGATTGACAGCATTGGTCAAGCGCTTGGCCTAGTTCCAGGTTTACATGTGTGCTCTGGGATATATCTCCCCACCCAGCCCTAACTAGAGGAGCCCTGAAGCCCACATCCTGACACTGTGGTCTTCACTCAGAAGAGCTCTACTAAAACCCACCTTCCAGTAGGTTGAGGGTTTTCCTGCCTTGTGTGGGAGGCCTTGCTTGGAGCCATCTGGTGGCCAGGGATGGTGAGGCTGGAGTCCCCTTGCTCCCCAGAGGAAAAGCACCTGTGCCTTGCCTGACCTCTTCCTCTCTCCCTGATGATAAGCATCCCCTTGCAGGCGTTCCATGAAATACACACTGTGCAGTGACAACCATGGCATCAAGCCCCCGACCCCGGAGCAGTACCTGACCCCACTACAACAGAAGGAGGTGTGCATCCGGCATCTGAAAGCCCGGCTGAAGGACACACAGGACCGGCTCCAGGACCGGTGAGCAGGTGGCCATGAGCAGCCCTGGGGGCACCCCACCAGCTGCACACTCAGAGGAACCAGGGCCCTGGGTCATCTCTGGGAGGAAGGAGTGGCCGGGGGTCTCCCAGCATCCATCTGCTCTCTTCTTCCCAGCAAAGCCTCGTTTGAGCCCCTTTGCAGACCCTCACCCCTGCCAAAAGCTACTCACCTTGACTGTTCCACGAGGCTGCTGGGGGCCAGATGGGAGTGATTTCCCATGAGGGTCTGTCCCGTGGGGCCTCCCACCTGTGCAGTCCTCTCCCAGCTTCAGCCTGACAGCCCCTCTGGCTGCTTCTTTTCCCCTGGCTCCCATCTTCCACGGCTTCTTTCTGACTTACTTGTGTTTTTTGGGGGAAAAACAACTCTGTATCCTTCCTCACTTCCTGCTGAGTGAGTCTCTGGAGGGCTTGTGGCCGACCTTGACTTCAGGCCCCAGAAGCCTTCCTCCTCATCTGCTTCCTGCTGTGGAGGATGATCATGAGAAACCTTTTGCTGAGCTCCTCCCCAGCCCAGGTGTCTCCCAGGAGCCCCCACAGGCCCATCTGAGCTCATTCTCAGGTGCTTAATCCCAACCCTCCCAGGCTGTACCCTCCAGCCTGGTGGCCTCCTCTTCGTGATGGACACTTCAAGGGCATAGCTCTCCCATTGTCTTAACTATCCTTCTCTGGGCTGTGTCTGTGCAAACATGCAGCCTATTATGAGTTGGACAAGGCACTGTGTGGGGCTGGAGCTCCAAGCAGGCACCATGATCTCTCCTTTTTCCCTTTCTTTTTTTTGGTAAATACAGCAACTTTATTGCAGTGTAATTTGCATACCATACAATTCACCTATCTAAAGTATACAATTAGATGATTGTTAGTATAGTCACAGAATTTTGCAACTATGACCACTATCTAATTTCATAAATATTTTTATCATCGCAAAAAGAAACCCCATTCCCATTAGCAATCACTCCCAATTTCTCTTAACCACCCTAGTTCCTGGCAACCACTAACTTTTCTGTCTCTATGGATTTTCCTGTTCTGGACATTTCATATAAATGGGATCACACAGTATGCATGACTACATGGTTCTTGACCACAGCTCTGCCAAGCAGCTACCTGGGTTTGGATTTGTTGTGGTTTTAAACTGCAGGCAGTTATGGGTAGCATTCAGTGAGCTTCACTGTCTACAGAGCTAGGATTTCTATTTTTATTTTCCCTTATCTTCCCAATGATGGCCAGAATCTGCATGCCTTTTGCACTAATGCCTCAGGGAGCAGATGGCCCAACTTCCAGCTTTTTTTCTGGGGCCAGCCCCATGGCTTAGAGCAGACCATCTGCCCTGTGTGGTTTGGGCAGGATGCCCTGGCGTGGGCGTGCCCACACCTTCACTCCCTGGACACTGTCTGCCCGTTACTCCCACAGGAACCTATGGCAGGTCTTTACATGACATACTGTCACTGTCCCCACACTCTCTACATAACAAGTTTCATGCCTGTGCTTCCTGCAGTGGCCCACCTTCTGTTCCTCAAAGACACCACGTGCTTATGCACCTCTGTGCTTTCATATCTGTGTCCCCACTACCTGAGATGCCCTGCCCCCCATCTTGCTTCCTAGGCAAACTTATCCTTCAAGACCCACTTCAAATGTGATGCCACTGAGGCATGGACAGGACTCAAAGCCATGGCTCCCTGGGGTTTGAGCCCCAAGGAGAGAGAGGCAGGGGCTGGCTGAGCAGATCATGCCCAGTTCCTTCTTCCAAACTTACACTCTTTCTCAGGGAGAGATGTGAGTGAGGAGCAGGGTGAGGCCAGGAGGGTTACCTAGAGCGAGCCCCCCACCTGGAGGCAGGAGTCGTGAAGATCCAGTATCTCCCACCCCCCAGTACCTGTTGCCTTGTCTGTTCTTGGCACTCTAAGCAGCTCCAGCTGTGTCCTGTTGGATGGTGGGGCCCCTTCTAGGCGATACCATTGCTGACCTCTGTGGCTGCTGCACCCCCTCAGCCCCCAGTCCCTCCAGCATATTGAGGAATGAGATTCCTGGGCCCATTTCCTGTAGGAAATTTCTGATCTGGCTTTGAAAAGTATATGGTGCTTGATCTGAGACAGTCACTCTGCTGGGCTGATAAGTGGCAGCCATGGCATTTGTAGATAATATTGATGGGAATGTAAGGTTGAGGCTGAGAGGGCTCATGTGGGCTGCCACTAGGGAGTGGATGAGAATGCCCGGGACAGGGTTTGATGTCTCCTGGATGATTTTCCTCCTTCCTCGATAGTGTTAATCAGTCGCTGTTTCATCTTGCTCTGGTTTTACCTCTAGACCTGATGGGATGTTTTTCTAACTTACCTCCCTCACCTGCACCCTTGCATTCGTCTGTGACTCGGGAATTTGAAAAGCCTGAGCATTTCTGGAAAAGAGTCAGCCGACTGTCTTGTTCACCTGGTGCTTGCCCGCTCTCTCAGGAGTAACTCTGTGCCTTTCTCCTTGATCTTTTCAGCCTTTCCTCTTTAAGATACAAAGATACAAGGATATACAAAGAAGCAGCTTCTAGCATGGATAGAAGAGAGCCACCCTGTTCTCATCGCTCTCCCGGCTCCACCCACCGCTTTTCATCCCTCTGCCTAAGGGATAATGTAAAGTCGTCAGCATCCCCCAGCATTGAAGGCTGTCATTTCTCTCCCCAGGGGTCTCTGGCCAAATACTCCTCCATCTAAATTGTCTGCTTTAGTAGGAGGCGACCTCACTTTCTATAGAGCCGAGATTTTCTGCCTAGTTTTTGTTGTTTTACATTAAGATTTTATTAGGTTTTTATAGCAGCAGGTATAAAACTTGCAAGGATCTTTGTTGTCTAGTCTCTTCTCTAGATGATGGATTTGAATGTTGAGAGTCGTCTGCGTTTTGGGGAGTGGTGGGGTGGGAATGCTAGTGATATCTCCTCCTGAACTTTCTTCTCTCACCAGGTATAGACTTCTCCTGCCTTGCCCCTCAGCCCCTCTCCCCAGCCACTCTCACTCCCCCCATAATAAAAAGGCGTTGAGTTTGTCCTTCTGTTTTGGGCTCTGAGCCACAGCAGCACAGGGCCCTTTATCCTTGGTGACATTGTCCTCTCCCTGCCTCTCCTTGGTGGTGACAGAGCAGGCAGGCAGGCAGTGAGCATGTGTGTGTCTCCTCGGCTCACAGGGACACAGAGATCGATGACCTGAAGACGCAGCTGTCACGCATGCAGGAGGACTGGATTGAGGAGGAGTGCCACCGCGTGGAGGCCCAGCTGGCCCTGAAGGAGGCCCGCAAGGAGATCAAGCAGCTCAAGCAAGTCATCGACACTGTCAAGAACAACCTGATTGACAAGGACAAGGGGTTGCAGAAGTACTTCGTGGACATCAACATCCAGAACAAGAAGCTGGAGACGCTGCTGCACAGCATGGAGGTGGCCCAGAACGGCATGACCAAGGAGGATGGCACAGGGGAATCGGCCGGTGGGTCCCCCGCGCGCTCCCTCACCCGCAGCTCCACCTACACCAAGCTGAGTGACCCGGCCGTCTGTGGTGACCGCCAGCCCGGCGATCCCTCTAGCGGCTCTGCTGAGGACGGGGCTGACAGCGGCTTTGCGGCAGCTGATGACACACTGAGCCGGACGGATGCGCTGGAAGCCAGCAGCCTGCTGTCATCGGGGGTGGACTGTGGCACCGAGGAGACCTCGCTGCACAGCTCCTTTGGCCTGGGCCCCCGCTTCCCCGCCAGCAACACCTATGAGAAGCTGCTGTGTGGCATGGAGGCTGGTGTGCAGGCCAGCTGCATGCAGGAGCGTGCCATCCAGACAGACTTTGTGCAGTACCAGCCTGACCTCGACACCATCCTGGAGAAGGTGACCCAAGCCCGGGTCTGTGGGACAGTCCCTGAGTCAGGGGACAGGTACCCAGAGCTAGACGCCCACTCTCTGGGACCCAGAGACCCCAATTCAGCAGTGGTGGTGACAGTGGGTGATGAGCCAGAGGCCCTAGAGCCCATCACCCGTGGACCCACCCCACAGCAGCCTGGTGCCAACCCCAACCCTGGCCAGTCGGTGAGCGTGGTGTGCCCCGTGGAGGAGGAGGAGGAGGCTGCCGCAGCTGAGAAGGAGCCCAAGAGCTACTGGAGCCGCCATTACATTGTGGATCTGCTGGCTGTGGTGGTACCAGCCGTGCCCACAGTGGCCTGGCTTTGCCGCTCCCAGCGACGCCAGGGCCAGCCCATCTACAACATCAGCTCCCTGCTGCGGGGCTGCTGCACTGTGGCCTTGCACTCCATCCGCAGGATCAGCTGCCGCTCCCTGAGCCAGCCAGGCCCCAGCCCAGCGGGCGGCGGCTCCCAGCTCTGAGGAGGCCTATTCGGGCAGCGGCGCCTGCGGCCTGACCACTGATTGTAGGGATGCCGTTCCCCCTCCTTCTCCCTTGGGCATCATCTTATTTATTTAGTTTTGGGTGTGGAACTGTTTCTTTTTTTCAGGATGTTAAAACAGTATCGTGGCAGGAGTAGGGGTTGGAGACAGGCATCCCAAAGCTTCGATGGAAAGCAGGGAAGGGAGACCAAAGGCAGGAGGCACACCGGCTGGACACATCGCAGGGAGGGGAGGAGGCGAGGGCCCCCCGGCCCCTCTGTCCCCCTGGCCCTTTGGACAGGGCCAACCCTGCTCAGGAAGTTTCTGGCTGTCTTTATCCAGAGAAGCCGGGCTTAAGTTGCTCATCAGGCCCCCGCCCTGCACCGTCCTGTCCAGTGCCCTGTTCACTCCATGCCTGCTCTTCCAAGCCACCTTGCCCTCAGCCCCAGCTCAGGGGCCAGCGCCCTCTCCTCAAATGGAGGCAGCCATGGCCTAAACTACAGATCGCTAACCCAGGTCTCAGAGCAGGGGCCGAAACCACTGGGCCGGGCCAGCGTTCCAGCCTCCCCAGACTGCTCCCCACCTTGGGACTCAGGAGCTCAGTCAAGGCCACAGGCTGGAGGAGAGGTGGGTTGGGCGCAAGGTGGCAGATGGCAGTGTGGGTTGTGTGTGTGTCCGTTCATCCTAGGCCTTCCCGTCATCTCTTTCCTCTTGGCACCTCTGGGTGTGTCAATCATTATTCCTGTGAGGCAGCTAAGCCCGGCAAGCTCAGTGCTGGGGTAGGAGTGCCTGCCTGAGCCCCAGCTCCCAGCTGGAGAATCCACCAGCACAAGAAGAGGAGGCAAGCCCCTGCCAAGAGGGCTCCCCCAGCCTTTCAAGGTGAGGCCATCTCATCTGCAGGCTGGGTGGCGGGGCTGGACTCAGGAGTCCACAGTTTACTGAATAAGCCAGAGGCCGTGACTGCCTCCTGGAACTTGCCCCAAGTTTCTCTGGGGCCTTCGGGCCCAACTTCTGCTTTGCACTATGTTCACTTTGGGGCTGGTTCTCAGCCATGCAAGGGCCTCCGGGGAGGTGGCTGCTTGCTTTCTGAGATGAGGGTTCCTAAACCTTAAACCTATCTGCCTCTGGAGAAGGGTGGGGGATTCTGGCAGGATGAATTGCAGGACGGCATACTGAAGCCACGATGTTTGTCCAGGCCAAAGCAGGATGTCCTGGGATGGGTTTCCCAGGCATGCGTGTGGAAGAGCGGGCAGGCATCCTGCAGCCTCCCTGCTCCCAGCCCAAGGCCAGTTGGCCTGGGAAGGTTCACTGCCCCCAGCCCCTTTCCGGGACCACACTGAGTCCCCCAGCCAAGCTGCTGACATTCTTATTACCATTATTATTTTACCAAGTAAAGTCACTCCTCTTCCCCCACAGGGTTGGCACCCATCTGGTCGTCCCACCCACTCTTCAGAGGCGAGGCTCCACATCTGGGGGGTTGGAGGGACTCTGTGTCTTCCTCGCCCCTCTGGCCTCAGGGCCACTCTGGTTCTCTGCCAAGGTTGCTTGCCCTCACCCCGATGCTCCAACAGCCATTGCCTGACTGCTGGGCTCTGCCCTTCTGCTTGGTGCCCTCCACGTGAGGTCAGGCACCTGCATGCACTGGGAATGGGCAGCTGGCCCAGCCCTTGGGGCAGGAGCCCCCTCTGCCACACGCTTTGTGCCTCCAAAGCTCCCCCCGCCTCGGTCAGGGCCTCAGACCAGCCATCCTTTGTGGAATATGCCCCAACCCAGCCAAATCAAACCTAAATGCCTGGGGCCTGGCTGGGGCTGCCCCTGCAGGACACTGTGGCCATGCCACGGAGGGGGCAGTGGACAAAACCAATCCAAAGCCAAGCCGGGACTGGCCACGGACCCAGCCTCCTGTGCCGTGCACTCATGGAGCTGTGTAGTCTCCTTAGACATAGTCCAAGCTTTGCCGAGAAAAGAAATGTATGAACTATATTTGACAACATAAAGTCTCTATATTTTTCACCACTGGAATTTAATCAAGCTTCAAGCCCCTCTGCTCCTGTCTGTGTCTTGCGTCTGTGGCCTTCCTATTGTGTCTTGTGTTTTGGCGGATGTGACAGGGCTGGGGCCACAGTCTACTCTGTCCCTGCTGCTAGAGAAGCTACCTGTGGAGGAGTGGGCTGTGGCTGGGCCCGAGGTGGAGGTGCGTGTAGCCAGAGGAGCCACCTGCGGAGGAGGTGAGTGTAGCCGGCTGCAGCCCCCTACTCCTGCTCTGGCCTGAGACCGCCGTGGGGGGCACGCAGGCCCTGGCCCACAGTGTTGAGGGTCCTCTCTTTCGGGGGTTCTCCTGGGGCCTTTGATGGGCTTTTCTTCTTGTCAGTGAAGGAAGCAGCTCCCCACTCAGCCCTGGGACAGGCCCTGGGACCGTGACGGCAGGTGGCCCTGGCCTAGCTCTGGAGTGTGTCTACGTGTGCTCAGTATCTGCTTCAATGCAAAGGTGCAGGTGGCCCGTGCAGCTCCAGGTGGTGGAGGTGCAGCAGCTACGGCTCGGGCACCGCGCCCTGCAGAGGCTGGGTACAGATGGGGCTAGGAGGGCAAAGCTGGTGCGGGGCCTCCTCCTGAGAGAGCTTACCCTCCACAGCAGCCCTTTTCCTTCCTGCCTAATACCTCCTCCCATTGGGTTGCAACTTTTTTCCTCCTGCCCTCAGCTTCTGAAGCAGAAATCTTTGGGGCCTCCCCTTTCCCCAGCATCTAGCCAGAGCTGATGAGGTCCTGAGGAACAGCATCCCCAGAAACCACCTTCTGAAACCTAGTGGGCAGAGGTGGCTTCTGCTGAGTTCTAGGGCTCAGGCCAGAGTGGCCCCACTGCCTGGCCAGTTCAGGCTCAGGCAGGCATTGGAAGCTGGGGCCCGGGCTCTGCACAGAGAGCTGGGCTTGAGTGGAGCGTATTGTAGATTTCTCCCAAGGGGATCACTTAGGTTCTCACTGACACACCCTTCCCAATTGCCACTAGCACAGGGGTATCTTACAGCACTTTGGGGAGGGGTGGGACAAACTCCAAGGTTCTGGGGCCAAGGCCTACCCAAGGGCCTCTGCCCAGAGAACTCACAACCCCCTCTCTGACCTAGGGGACAACGCAAATGGGTCACAGTGCACTCCCATGTTAGGCCATCCCCTTGACAAAGAATTCAGGGGATTCGGGAAGTGGGGAGGTGGGGAGGGATCTTGACTCTTGTCTCCTTTGTCCTTTTGTTCAGACAGAGTTGTACCTGCGGCAGACAACTCTGAATTAAAGCATGAACACAAAGCAAGCCCCTCAGCCTGTTTTCTTTATACTGTGTGGTTTCTCTAAACAGGGGGAATGGGGGGGTTCACACTGTCCTCCTCTGACACAGGAGTCACAACACTTGCACAGGAAAAAGCCAGGCAGGCAGCCATCGTCTCTGACGTGCAGGTAAGCAGAGAGCTGCATGGGGCTGGGGCACCACTGCCCTTCTGGGGTCAGGCACGGGGTCTGGAACCACCTCCCCCCGCCCTCACGTGGCACACCCTGCTGGCACCATGAGCGCATCGCGTCTCATCCCCGCAGCACCCCCTGAAGTGGCTTCTCATTCCCGCTTTGCAGAAGCAGAAGCAGCCAGTCACATGGGAGGGGGCCCCAAAGCCAGTGCTCCCTCTGCCAGTCCCGCTGCCCCACAGTCCCACCCCATCCCCACAGTTCCATCCTGTCCCCAGTTCCAGTCATCCCTGTGCCAGGCTGGCAGGCAGCATATGACAGAGGCAAAGCCAAATCATGGCTCTCAGAGGCCATGTGTTGAAAAGACCCTGGTCCCCCCACTGTTTGAGAGAAAACCAGCCCTGGCATGTCAGGGGACCAAGATTCCAAAATTTCAGTTACCTTTTTATTTTATTATTTTTGATAGTTTGGGGGGGAATCAATAACCTCTGAGGACAGGATTTTGTTTAAAATCAAATCTTTATTCAAAAGGCAATCAAGGCTGAGAACTTCCGCAGTCTATGACAAAGAGCAAGTCCAGGCAAGGAAAAAGCTCTCACAAAGAATGTCACTCTGGTCTCAAAATGTTTAACTGTTTTCCTAGTAGAGCAAAATCTTGAAAGGGGCCCAGTTGCAACTTTAAGAAGTGTTTAGGCAGCCTGCCTACGTGGCCGGCATTTAAACCAGTGCCAGAGAATCGGCTTCCTGTGGGCCGTGCCTGAGCCTCAGCCCAGCTTGGAGTCTGAGCCGCCAACGAGGCCTGTGTTCATAAACGACATGCCCATGCCATCCCGTGGTCACCCTCCTGGACATGCCCCCCCTCAAGGCAACCCCCACCTTAGGCAGCAGGCCAGCTGCAACCCATAGTTGGAGGGTGGTTGCCTTTGGCCACAGGAGGGTGGGAGGCCTGCCCTGCCCTCTGATGGCTTCAGACATCTGGGATGGAGTGGTCCATGGTGTGGCGGAGCAGCATTGGAGACAACCTGGGTACAGCAACAACGGTGGCCAAGTTGGCAGCTCCTTCTCTCCGCCCTCCAGCACCCCCATCCCCTTTTGAGCCAGAGCCTCCATGTGGGCCTTCACTCCCAGTTCTAAGACTTACAAATCTCCAGAAGCCACAGGCTACCTTGGAGGGAGGGGAGAGGAAGGGAGGATGGAGCTGGCTGGGCCTGTGCCCTGTGTCAGGGCTGAGAAGGTGGGAGTGGCCGAGCCCAGGTGCAGCCAGGAGACAGAGAGGTGGGGGATGGCAGAGGAGGGGTGCAGCCTTACTTTTTGACCATGTGCTCATAGATCACAGCAGGGATGATGGTCAGGGTGACAACATTTCCAGCTGTGGCCAGAATCTCCATGATCTGTTTGTCCTAGAGAGAAGGCAAGTGGGCAATCACCTTAAGGATTGGGGACCAGGGGCAACTCTGCAGGCCACTCTGTGAAAGGGTCAGCATGGCCACTGCTGGAGGACACCACTGATGCCTGACTGCAGGGCAGGGCTGCCTCGGACCCCGAGCCTGTCAGACAAGGGTCCCAGCAGACTCCTAGATAAAGCCTTGCTTGAGTGAGAACATGGGCCTCCCACTTGAGGAGCTCCTTGGTCAAATGAGCATGCGCTTCCCGCCCTCAGCTTGAAGGCCAGTGAAGTGGGCCTGACGCATAACAGGGCCTCATCATTGCGATTCTTCTCCCCCTTTCAAGGGCTCTCAGAGACCCACCAAGCCCACGTTTGCTATCCTATATCCCCGGCCCCAGCCACATTTGAGTTCTGGCCTCAACGCATAAAGAGAATCCTCCTCCTGTGGGTGGTATTAAGTGCACCCATCCACCCTCTGGCTCCTGCTGCCGTCAGGGCCACAAGGGTCCTCCTCCTCTTACATCCTCTTAGATCTGCTTGTTTGGTAAAAAGAGAGGCCTGCAAACACCACGTAGATCATGGGAAGAAAAAGAAACTAAAAGTCTCCAGGCAAAGTGTGCCAGGCAGTCCAAATACAATGCTGTGGCCACAGAAGAGCCTCTGGCCCTTACTCAGAGCCCAGTGACCTTTACTTTACACATGTATGTAATCTGGTTATGTGTCTTCTTGGTTGTTCCAAAACAAATGAGAGTAGGTGTGCTAGACAGGACTAGTGATGGCCACAGGTGGAAATAAACTTTGAAAAGACAAATGATCTCAAAAAGTATGGCTGGCTGGGACAAACCCAGTTCTGAAGAGCCTGATGACCCTATGGATTTCTGAATAACAATTTTCTAAATCATTCCTACTTCTGAACATGATCCACTATGCAAATAACAGTGCCATACAGAGCAAGGAGGTGTCCATGCAGCCAGCAGCCACCTGGGTGGGTGCCTGGGAACTCTACACACTCCTAATCCTGTCGTGCCTCTGGCCTCCATGTGTCAGTAGCAATAGCTATTATTTATTAAGCACCTACTATATGCCTGGCACTGTGCTCAGAGCTCTAAGTACACTTTTTTTTTTTTTTTTTTTTTGAGAAAGGGTCTCTCTTGCCCAGGCTGGAGTGCAGCAGCATAATCACAGCTCACTGCAGCCTTGACCTCCCAGGCTCAAGTGGTCCTCCTGCCTCAGCCTCCTGAGTAGCTGGGACTACAGGCATACACCACCATACTTGGCTAATTTTTTGGGTTTTTTTTTTTTTTTTTTTTTTTTTTTTTTTTTTTTTTTTTTTTTGTAGAAAGAGGATCTCATATTGCCCAGGCTGATCTCGAATTCCCGGGCTCAAGTGATACTCCTGCTTTGGCCTCCCAAAGCACTGGGATTACAGATGTGAGTTGCCACACCCAGCCCTCCCAACACTGTCTTACTAAATCCTCACAGCAACCTTAGGATGAGGACACTGAGGCTCAGCTGCCCACAGACCTGAGCCCTCCCACCACCCAGCCATCCCTCCCTGGCGCAGCCACCGGCCTACCTTCAGCCCGATGACATTCTGCCCGTTCACCTCACACACATAGTGGTTGGTGAGGAGCCCGTTGCGGGCCGCAGAACTCCCTTTGACCAAAGAGACGACCTTCCCCTTCTTGACCATGAAGCCCACGTGTCCCGTGCTGTCCTTGTGCATGGTGACAGTCCGCTGGAATGGCCTGGCAGGAGGGACAATGAGCTGGCCTGGGGACGTGGCTGGGGTCAGACGGAGAGGCTGTCTGGGCCTGGCTACTCACCTGTCCCGAACCACCATGATGATCTTCTCGGCTGATGCCCTCTTCAGCATCTGATGGGCTTTGTGCGAGCTCCACCCGGCACAGTCACAGCCGTCAATCTGCAGGATCTGGTCCCCAAAGCGCAGCCCCACAAGAGATGCTGGGGTGTTGGCCTGGACCAACTGCACAAAGAGCCCCTGGGGGAGGCAGGACCACAGAGTCAGTGTCCCTGGCCCACCCTGGGCCAGGATCCTTCTTCCAAGCTGTTGTTTTCCTCCTGATACTCCGGGAGCCTACAGTGTCCCAGGGGCACAGCTCTGCACGGTGGGCACCAAGGTTACCCCATTTCCCTGGGGAAGAAACACTCTAGGCTGCATAGTTAAGAAGGAGGTGAGTCAGGATTTCAACCCTGGCCCAAGGCTGCACCCGCAAACACTCTGCTGTACCATTCACAAAGGCATGGGCTTCCCTGGCGTCCGCTGTCTACACCGTCGCCTGGAAGCTAGATGCCCTGGGCAGTGAAGGGCAGGTGGGAAAGGAGGCTCCTCCGAGAGGCAGGGGCCCATGGAGAGGGCGGCATAGGGCCCGGCGCAACCCAGAACCAGCCCCACTTGGGCATCGGGACAGAGGGACAGGGAGCGAGGGCCTCCCCGCTGGGGTTAGGAGGCCCACCTTACTGTGGACGGGACCCCTGAGCTCTGAGGCCTGGCGGGAGGGCAGGTGCAGTTCGGGGCTCCTCTTCCCGCCCAGTCCCGGCGCCCTACCTGGTCGACTGTCCGCAGCCTCAGCCCTGTCTTGCCGCGCTCGTCCTTGCACAGGTGGATCTCGCGCACCCCGGGCTTGATCTCCGCTCGCCGTACGCCCAGGCTGTTCCCGGACACCGGTGCCACCACCTGGACGGGCCCAGGGCCCGAAGCCGCTGTCTGCAGACACCAGGGAGCAGGGGGTCAGCCAGGCCCATAGGGACCCTGTGCCTCAGGAGACACGAGTTGGGGTAGGGATGGGGAAAGGATGGAGCGGTCCCGGGTCTCACCACGTCCCAAGTCCACACCTCTCCCCTAGGGCCGAGAGGAGACGTGGCACCATGCGGCCACTAGAGGGCGTCAAAGTCCATGCCCCTAAAAAGCCAGGGCCATGGGGAGAGAAGGGGCGAGGATACAGAAAGAGGCCCTTCATTCTCCGAGGGAAATTGGTAGGAGGAAGACTCCTTTAAAATCCACTTAAAATAGAAAAAGTCACAATAAACAGTGAGCAGCAGGGGATAAAACTACTGGATTTTTGTCTTAACAAATGTAAAAATATAAAAATTAATGATGCAGAAAAAGGCAAGGAACTTCGCTCTCCCACCACTGTTAAAGACAGACGATCTAGCCAGCGCAACAGGCAAGAAAAGAGAGGGAGTCACACAGATCAGGAGAGAAGAAATAAAACAGTCCCCATCTATAGATGGCATGATGGTCTACTAGAAAATTCCAAAGAATCTACAAATAAACTCCTAGATCAAATAAAGGAGTTTAGCAAGGTCCTGGGATGCAGAATTAACATATAAAAGGTTAATCGTATTCTCAGCCTCCCAAAGTGCTGGGATTCCAGGCATGCCCACCACACCTGGTAGCAGTTCCTTTAAAAAATTTAAACATACATTTATCATACAGCCTAGCA